AGAATGAGTGGAGGGGGGTGTTGGGTGTGTGTGTGTGTGTGTGTGTGTGTGTGTGTGTGTGTGTGTGTGTGTGTGTGTGTGTGTGTGTGTGCGTGTGAATGGGTTAACAGGGACCATTACATTTGTGCACTGTGTAGAAAGGACATTTGTGAAGTTCATTCTATTTACCTGCATTACTTTGCGGGGCAGGTCTGACACATCCAATATGACGGACACACCGACATATCCTAACCACTCAGAAGAGGGTCTGTTATACAGTGTTTGATTTCTATGAGCTGCGATTGGATGTCAACCAGTTCAGGTGTACACCACCTGCTGCCCAAAGTCAGCTGGGATAGACTCCAGCACGCCTGCGACCCTTGCGACCATAAAGCGGTTCAGACAATGGCCATTGATGAATGTCTGATTTGTATGGGATCATGCCATTGCTCTCCAAAAACCATTGGCTTGTTTCGAAATACACATTGCCAGATGCTTCACGACCATTCGTTGAGTACGTCACACGACACGGGCTGCGATGTGTCAAGACAACTCAAAATTGGCGATGAGACACTATGTTTGTCTGAGACATGCCTGTCAGGTCAAAATCGGGCAACATCTGTGTAGTCTTTGGACAGTATTAGACTGTTGAAACTTTGCATTTTTGGAGGGCCTTAATGTTTGAGGGGGTCTTCAAACCGAACAAGGGCCACGAGTGCCAGTGAGCACTGTGAAAAGTGAGACAAGTCAGTGTCTGTAGGCTAGGACATAATTATTATGTTTTTGTTGATGCCAAGTACAAAAGAAGACATTACTTAAGCCCTTCGTTGTTATGATTTGGAGAAATAAGCATGACATAGTTCAATTTTGTTTTGTGCATTTAAGCCCGATGTGATTACATGAGACTGGAAAGGAAGGTTCTACTTTACTGCATCTTGGAACAGTATGAGAGTTAAGAAATGTGAAAACTCATTTTAAAGCTAAATAACATTTCTGGTGTACCTCACTTACTGTACCAAATGACATACTGATGATAATTTCATGTCAAATACAAGAAAAACACGAACGAGTGACACACAGAAGCATTTTATATGTGAGTCATTTTTGATATCAATAACCCCACCCCCCAAGTTCTTTTCTCCCTCTAAAAAAGGTCAGACTCATTTTATGAAATGAACCCTAAACAGTAAAATTGAAACATGTATCATTAGT